GCATAGCTAACTAGTTTCTTTGCAGCCATCCCAACACAGCCAAAGAGACATTCTCTACACATTTAAACTGTAACTGGAAATGAATAGGCAGGCCACTGTTCAATTGAATTTGGTCTGGTGTCAAAGTTCTTTTCAGACTTTCCACCTGCACAACCACATGGATCTGCAGGAACTGACTGTGCTCCAAGTGTGAGTAGACAGGAAGATCAGTGCTCAGGAGTAAACACCAGGTGCTCTATGCATGGTAACCAGTGTCAGACTATGGAATCGGTATCGGTATTGAGCCATACCAATACCAATATACCCAGTACTGGAACCCAATACCGATACTGGATCAGAATGGTCCCAACTCTACCATCCAACATGGGTGGCAGAAAAAATTGATTCAGCATAGGATCACGATATTTTGCATAGCGATACTGTATCAATACACATACACCAAGTATCAATCACATTATTATTTTTTGCAAATATATATTTTAATATATTTTTTGGTACTAGATGGTGCTGATGTTTTTTTTTCCTGGTGAGGTCAGCAGAGGTCTCAGTCTGCGGTATTTGGCAGAAAGTTCATCAAAACAAAGATGGAGGCACCAGTGAAAGAATGCGCCGTCAACATTTAAATCAAACGTCTGGACTTATATTGGATTTTTTAACAAAACGTTGTTTTTTTTTTTATTATTTCAAGGTCAGCAGATTCACATGTGACTATACCGGCACATTATCTCACAGAGGACTGGAAACTGCTGTCTTATGTTCTCCAAACTAGAGCAGTATATGTTAGTCACACCGGAGCAAACTTCCTATGGGGGAATAATGTGCAGTTAGGAAAAAAAGGCAATAAATCACAATATATTTTATCCCAATACTCAGTATATCGCAATAATATTGTATCGTGACCTAAGTATCATAAAAATATCATAACATGGGTCCTCTGGCAATTCCCACCCCTAATTTCTAGCAATGCTCCCAGATCTCGGCCACCACTGTATAATGTGTGTGTGAATGGTGAATGGCAGCTTGTGTTGTAAAGAGCTTTGAGTGGTCCCTAGAAAAGCAGAATGAAAATGCAGTCCATTTATTACTTCCGTTACTACTTTGTGGAGTACTATGTTTATTATTACAGGTATATAGGATTGCCAAGACTATGAAAATTGGTTAATACAGAATAGGCAGGCTATACTGTTAGTTTAGAATGATAAAAGTCTGGTGTTAAAATGTTAAATAACATGGCTAATAGTAAACCTCTGAAACTATTTCAACTTCATTTGACAAACTGCATCAGCAAATAATTACAGTAGCCATTAGTAAGAACTAAGCAATAGGGAACATGTCTGTGTGTGTGTGTGTGTGTGTGTGTGTGTGTGTATGCGCGTGCGCGCATCGGGGCCGAACTCCTCCCTGCGCGATACAGAGAGCAGAGGAGACCAGGAGACATGAGGAGACATGCGTGACCATGTAGAGACAGAAATGACATGCCGTTACGTAAACAATATGTCATCACGTGCGCCACATAATCATTTGCGTAATCGTGATTTCAATTTTGACCAAAATAATCGTGATTATGATTTTTTCCATATTCAAGCAGCCCTACACGGATACAAGTATAAATGCGCACAACAGTGTAAGGCACATGCGTAGGCTACATCAGGCTCTGCATAGAGCTGCCACACAAGTATAAATCCACCTTTGACCTCAACCTCATCAGTCCCTCAGGCAGGTTAATGTCTTTTACAAGTACAGTACAGGCCAAAAGTTTGGACACACCTTCTCATTCAATGCGTTTTCTTTATTTTCATGACTATTTACATTGTAGATTCTCACTGAAGGCATCAAAACTATGAATGAACACATGTGGAGTTATGTACTTAACAAAAAAAGGTGAAATAACTGAAAACATGTTTTATATTCTAGTTTCTTCAAAATAGCCACCCTTTGCTCTGATTACTGCTTTGCACACTCTTGGCATTCTCTCCATGAGCTTCAAGAGGTAGTCACCTGAAATGGTTT